ACACACCCATTCCATGGCTGCCACCACTTCTCAGTAGGGTCTCTGACACCAGAAAAGGTTAAAACATTTTTTTAATGAACACCCTCTAGAGGGTTGAATTTCATAGAGTAACTAGGAGTGTCAAACCCAGCAGCACAGAGGACTCAAAAGACAAGGACTGAGGGACATTCGGTGGACTTGCCAGCGTGCTGCGGCCGCGGTGGAGCCATGGGAACCCGGGTGCTGCCACCCGCCCATGTGTGGCATGAGCAGGAGGTGGGAGAGGAGGGAGCGTGAGCCAGTGCTGCAGGGTCAGCGCCTTGACAGCCCGCAGGGCTGTTACAGCCTAGCTTCCCGGGCTCCCTCCCCGGAGGTTCCGATTCAGCTGAGAATTTGTACTTCTGAGCAGCTCCCAGGTGACATGGTCCAGCTGGTCTGTGGACCGCAGTGGGGTGGACGGCTTTCTCAAGGTGTTCTCGTCAGAGGAGGCGGCGAGTGGCTGAGTGGTCATTAGAACAATAACGTGTTGAGTGACATAAACCTTTTTTTGAAGCGAGGGTGGCGGTCGGGTGGCACTCTTGCCCCCTCTTCAATCAGGTATCCTGCTGCCTTCCCTGCGGCACAGTGGCAGCTGACAACCGTGAGCTCTGACAGTTGTCCTCGGAGGAAGTGTGGGAGGGCTGTGCTGTGAGTCCTGACCCACCCCCAAGTCGGGGAAGGGGCCTAGCGTGCTCTCTGGTTCAATTTAAACCCAGAAAGTGTACGTTTCAGGGGACCACTTAGAAAGCTTGATGTGTGTTCGCATTAGGTAGGGATGGATGCCTGACTCATGCCAGCAGCAAGAAGAAATAGAGGGATGTAGCCAAGGGAGGGAGCCGCTTGCTGGCCCGGAGGACCAGCAGGGAAGCCCAGGGGACTGCAGCAGGAAGAGTCAGTGTGGAACAGGCCACCAGAGAACCCAGGGCCAAGGTGGGGCCAGGCGGGTGAAGGTGGGTGCAGCAGTGAGAGCTGGCTTTGCACGGCTGCCAGGCAGGGTGGCAGGAGCAGGAGGGGCAGGATGGAAGACACAGCCAGCAGGGGGTGGTGGGGGCCAGAACATCACATCGTGTAGTGTGGGGGAGCTCAGGCTGCTTGTAAGATTCTTCTCACTCAGTTGGATATTTGAGATACCTAGACTAGGTTCTTCTGATTGACTGAGTAACATTTTGAGAAAAAGAACCAGTTAAATGGCTTCAAGGAGGGTCTCTGAATCTGCACCTTTATGTGTAACTTTTGTGCATCTTCTGAAGAGGGACCTACAGCTTTCATCAGTTTTTTCAAATGGCTCTGTGACCATAAAAGGTGAAGGCTCGCTGTTCTTGAGCCTTCTCACAGATGCTGTTCACGTCTGTCCCCTTACTCTGGTTCACTGTTGTGGGATGAGAGGGCATAGGACAGGGCTGCGGGACAGGCAGGGCTGGTACCCGATGCCGTGGGAACTCCAGTTTCCCTGCCCTGATTCTCAGCTCTTTGTCCTCAGATTTCCAACACAAACGTCCCGGGCTCTGCAGCCTCTGGCTCCTGGCTCCAGGATTACATCACTTCTCTGCCTTCTCAGTTACATTTTCACACTCCTCTTTGATTACTGCACATTATTTTGTGCAGCTATAGTGGACCCTGATCGTATCATTGCTTGAGTTTCTGTTTCACAGCGACTGTGCCCTTTCCCCAGGCCGGGAGTTTACTCTCCTCAGAAGCAGCTTGTTTCATATTAATATATTCAGCAGGAGTCCACCCTGCTGGACCTTTGTCTGTGCTCCTTGCCTGAGTCTGACTTCTTGTGTCTTTGTCAGTCCCCGGGCTGGTCTTTCCGTGGGCCCTGGTGACATGGTGTCTTTTCTCTCTGTCTTTGCCCTCTGGTATGCTCTGAGTATTGGCTTTTTAAAATGAAATGGGAACTTTGCTACTTTGATACATTTTTATTTATGCTAAAGTGTTCCTTTTTATTGGTTTCAATTTGAAAATTCAGCTAATGAGCCTCATAAAATCCCAGTGTCTGATCCAGAGGTTTTCTCCACCAGTCTGCATTTTCGGGAACATGTCTGTGCTGAGTGAATACTGATTACAGTGTTTATTTCTACAGTCTTTCATGGGGCACAGACTAGATTGAAACAGTTTTTTTTTTCACTTGATGATTGAATTTTTATTATGGACATTTTCAAACCTATTCAAAAGTAGAAAGAATAGCATGACAGTCTGCTAATCATCATGTTCTTAGCAGGGATGGATGGATGGACAATGGATGGATGGATGGGAGCTGACATAGTTGTCCCCATACCTGAGTTTTCCATGCTGTTTATTTAACTGTTGTGTCACTGGGTGGTAGTATGTGTATCTTCAACAGAACCGGGAATCACTACATTGACCTCTCAGGTGCCTGTACCACTTGCCATCCCCTTTGATAGTGTCTGAGATTCCATTCCATAGCTTTGCCATCACTTGTATGGTTAGAGGTCTTCATATTTGCCAGTTTGGTGCATCTGAAGTGGGATCTGCCCCCTGATCAGGTATCTTTTCACATGTTTGCAAGTCATATGTTCTTTCTATAAATTGTCTGTTTTGTTTCTCTCTAACCAAAAGCTTTCTGAATTTTTCAGTTTTTTGATAGCTTTTAGTTATGTCATTTCCTTCCCTGGATATTCTAGGCATGTGCTCATTATGTACAAGTAATGGTAAACTTGTCCTTCTGCCATCTACGGCTCTTCTTTTTTTTTTTTCTTTTTTTTTTTTTTGGTTGGAGGGAGATAATTAGATTGATTTACTTATTTTAATGGAGGTACTGGGGATTGAACCCAGGACCTCGTGCATGCTAAGCACGCGCTCTACCACTGAGCTATACGGCCCCCTTACTGTCTTCCGAGCCCACCTAACTACGGGGGCTGAGTACTTCTAGAACAGTGTTAAATGGTGGTGAGGACTCTGAGTACCCGTGTCTTTCACAACTAGCAGTTGGAACTGTTGCTTCTACACTGTTAAGCATGAGGTTGAAAGAGATTCTTCTTTTTGTAACATTAGGGAAATGTTTTTAAACTAAAGGCTTTTATCAGGAATGATTGTTATCAAATGCCTTCCTGTCAAAAAGATAGGCTTTTTTTTTTCACTTTTTGACCTATTGTTACAGTTTATAACGTTGAATCTTTGTGGCAGGATAGAAATATTGTGCATTTTTAATTGGTTGCTTTGGGAGAGTGGCGGAGTTCCTCTTACACAAAAGAACGTTTCCTTCCCTAAGAAAATAATGGGGCATTTTTGTAATGGAAGACCTTCAAATGGAGTAGGGAAATTTGAGGCAGAAGGAAACTAAATTTGTTCTTCATCATAGGTTAGCAGGAATTTTTTTGTTTTCCTTAGGTTACCTGATGCTTGAGAGGGAAGAGTTTGTGGGGGGACCTTTGGACTTGGGAGAAAGCAAAAGGAGAGCCCCAGAGCCCCAGGAGGAGAGCAGGGGGCTCCCAGCTGGCAGGCAGAGGCGGTACCTACCAAGTTCAAGTCCTTAGGGTACTCAGGGTACTTCTGTTTCTGTTGAAGGGATTTCAGGAGGTGAGGTTACCAGTGGAAGGGGCCTCAGTGCACCTTTCTGATGTTTTAATTTGCTTTTCCTTGGTTACTAATGACTGGTCAGCATCTTCTCATTTGTTTCTTTGCCTTTCCCTTTCTCAATTGAGAAGAACTGTCTTGTTTCCTTCTAGTGCTTTTACCATTTATAATTGGCTGGACAAAGAGTTGAATTCTGTGTAAAGCAGAGCCACTCCTCACTTCAACAGTATGGCGAGTCTTGCACGTGTGTGTAGGAGAGGTGGCACTAGCGATGGAATAATTGAATCCGGCCTCATCAGTGCCCCCCCAGGCCTCCCTCTCTCCTCACTGACTCAGGCCTGGTTCGCTGTCAGTCCTGGGCCTGAGCACTTTGGGCGCTGTTGGTACTCAAGCTGGATGGCAGTTACAGGTGACCAGAGGGCACGTCCGGTTGGTTTTGGCCCCAGGGCTGGACATTTCTCAGTGTGGTTGCATCACAGAGTATCACAAGATCCCATTGTTTCTCCATGACTTTGCTTGGGCTTGGATACACGCAAGCATGGCCCAGACAGCTGCTCACACCGTGACAGGAGGCTGGGATGGCGCATCCAGCCAGCACCCACCCGTGTGTGGCATTTTACGTGGCCCTGGGGCCAGCGTTCCGCTCTGGGGAGCTGGGGAGGAGGGGTGGTGGGCCAGGCAGGGACTGCAGAACCATCGACCATTGTACTGGCTTTCCTTGTGTCCCCTCCTCCAGACAGTGTCACATTGGTCCTGTAACAGCTCAGTGAAGTACATAGAATCAGGCATGTGTTACAGGTGAGGAAACAGGAGGTGTGACTTACCCAGGATCACAGAGCCGGAAATAGTGGAACCCAGGAGTCAAGTCCAGTCTCCTGGCTGCAGATAAACTGCCACCCTGCGTTTCTGCCATCAGCGCGCAGAGGTGCGTGGTGTGAAGCTGGCAGTCCTGTGGCGCTGCCCAGGCGAGGCCTGTCCAGCCTTCCTGTCTGGTCGCATCCTGTGTGGCTCGTGCTGCTCAGTGTGGCACAGATCTTTCGTGTGCTCCATTGAGAAGCAGCTGCCTGTGTGCATTTTCCACGTCTCTAAACAGCTGAGAAAGTGTAAGTCCTGGTAGAGCAGTTGAGCAAGACTAATGAGTAAAGCTCTGCCAGCATTCGGGAGTTGGTTATTTATTTGGGATCTCATCTGAAAAGTGAAGTCAAACTGGATGTTCCTAGGGTCCCTTCTGTTCTGATTTTCTGAGACTGCATCCCACGTTCTTGACTTGAAGTTTCAAAGCCACCATATTAATTGGTCACCATTTCTCAGAACCCACCCCGTGCAGCGATGGCATCTGTCCCTGACTCCCCTTGGACCCGTCACCACAGACCTGGGATGGGCTTTGACTCCCTCTGGGATGTCCGAGTCCTGTTGTATTTCTAACTGCTGTGTTTGATTCCTAGATCCTCCGCTAACTACAAGCAAGAGAATCGAGGCTGCCAGGAGTTCTCCATCGTTATAGGGGTGTGGAGGGGGCTTTTTGGAAAGAACTCCCCAGGGCAGACTGTGTGGCGGCGACCTGCTTGGAAGAGGGGCTGGGATTCCACAGCCTGAGGCTGCTGTCTCACCTCTGAGTGACACCAGAGTGTCTTCACAGGCGATGTTTTCTGTTTTTAAGTTTTCAGACAGAGGAGGGGAAAGGGTAGCTACTGACGAGTAGAAAAATGCGTTTTTTGAGATAGTTTCTTGTTTTTTTCCACTTTTAAAATAGCCTTGGCTTTTCTCCCAATCCCAACCCCCTTCCCACTGCTAATGTCCTGGGTAAATACAAAGAGAGATCTCTGTGTATTTTATAGGGTTCCCTGCTTTGAAGGGAGAGAATTATGTTACAGATGTTTTTGTTGTAAGTAAGTAAAACACTTCCTTGTCCTTGCAAGATCCAGTGTAAGTTAATTGTGCAAATTCCCCTAAATTTGTAAAGTCAGTAGGTAGAGTAGAGGGACCAGTCGGATCAGCGCGAGTGGGAGTTGGGTTCGTCTTCTGGAGCCAGAGCAGCTCTTGTTGACTGACCTCACAGTAAAACGCTTGTGCATTTGGACTGGGGTTCCCCTGAAACCTCCCTTCTGTGGGGAGCTGTTTTGAGACAGTTAATTGGAAACCTTGGAGCCAGTCAGTGCTCCTGTACTCTGTACTCCTCGGGTCTTGCAAAATGTGTGTCGTGAGTGTCGTGGAGCCAGCCTCCCCGTGGCGTCTTGGACAGTGTGGTGCTGGGTGATGACAGCCACCACCTGAGGGGCCCCTGGGGCCTCACAGCATCCCTGCAGCTCATTCCTGGCACAACTCTGGTAGGTGAGGGAGGGAGGGGGGCTCCCTCACTTACCCGGGAAGGAAGAGGCTGGCTTAGATTAAGACACTGACCCAGGGCCTCTCCGCCTCCCGGCTGCAGGGGGCTGGCTGGGATGGCCTAACTTGGAGGGCAGCCCTTTCAGAGAGGTGGTCAGGGACCCTCCCCTTTCCAGACTGAGCTGGCTGCTGACCTCTGCAATAGGGTTTGGGCTGTTTCCCTCTCAAAAGCCGGAGGCCCTCCTGGCTTTTGCTGAGCTGACCGGGCAATAGGTGGCGACATAGCCCACTCTGCGCTTGCAGGCCAACCTGGCAGCCCAGAGAAACCAAGGACTGCCTGGGCCGCAGCAAGTGGCCGGGGCGGCTGCCCTGGGTGGGGCCAGTGACCGGCTGGGAGCAGCTCTCAGCCTCTCTATTGCCTCAGCTGCTTAACACAATTGCTCCGTAAAGACTGGTCTGTGCTGGGTGTTGGGACCGGCTCCTGCGGCCAAGAAGAAACAGCAGCGAGTATAGTCAATCCTCAGCACAGTGGGCGGGGCAGAGGGGCTCTGCAGGCAGGCAACTTGCGACAGAAGAGCCTGGAGGACCTGCTCCAGGCAGGAAGCGTGGCAGGACCAGAGGCCCCGAGAGGACCCACGTGCTCGTTTGAGAAAATGTCTTCACGTGGATGTCATGTGGGCAGATGGTACCAGATCCAGGAGAGGTGTGTGTGTGTGTGTGAGAGAGAGACAGAGAAATCAGACCCTCCTGTGGGCACTTGGGAGCCCTGCAGGCTCCTCCCCAGGTGGACACTGGTCCTGGAGATGCCTGTTCTCTCCAGGGCTTGAGAGCCAGACGGGCTCTTTCCTTGGCTCCTTCTCTCTTCTGACCTCGTTAAGAAGCTTACCTTGACCTCTGATCGCTTTGATCCACTCAGTCATGATAATGACATAATAATAGTGAGGAGTCAGACTTAATCCAGAGCATCAGTTAAGCAAAGACGTGTGTGTGTGTGTGTCTGTGTGTCTGTGTTTGGACACATGCACTTGTGTTTCTGCATAGGAGGCAAACATTCTAGAAAGAGACAGAGATGTCAGCAGATAGAGAACAGCGCACTATGATGTAAATATTTAATAAACCAAGAAATGTTTTATCTTTCTTACAAATGTGATTTTCTTAATTCACAACCCTTCAAACTAAAAGTGCAGCTGCAGATTGGGGAAGGCCTTGAGTCAAATCTCCGTCTTCCCAATCCCGCTCATTTTTCCAGCCCCCTCCTGCTGAGCTCCCCCTCACTGACTGCTCGCATCGTTCACCATCCAAAATGGGAAATGACTTACAGGAGTGGGGGTTGGCTCTGCGGCTATCTTTGAAAAATCCCAGGAAACAAGAACGGCACCAGGAAACAGACTCTGGACAGCCACTTGGAAAAGGTGGATTCTGGAACAAGGGTCACATTGCCCCAGAAAGAGCCCCACACATACTTGGTGTCTCCGCGGTGACCTTGTGTTTCACTCAGTGATGGGTGCTCACCGGATGCCAGTGGAATCTGAATCTAAATTCCTGATGCCAAACCTCATGCTGGTTTCTACAAGCCTCTTGAGGTAAAGTGTGAGGTGGATGAGGAAGTGGAGATACGCCAGAGTGATTACCTGGTCCTCAAGAATAGGTAAGCCAAACTCATGTGGTTTGTATTGGAAGGACCCCTGCGTGGCTCAGGAGACCTCTGCACAGAGCGTACCTCGCACGAGGAGGTGAAAGTCATTTCCCTCGAGTTGCTGCCACTGCCCCGGCCCCTGCGCCAGACCCTTCCCCACCCCCACCCCCACCCCCACCCCACTCGGCCTCATCCCGAAGCTGAGGCTTTTGCTTCCTCCATGCCCTTGTATCAGCCCCTAACTGTCCATTTCTCTGCCCTGCCTGGATCAGCTCTATGACTTCTCACCTTGATCCCTGAACAGGCTCCCAGCCAGCCTCCCCAGTCCCAGTCGTTCCTCCTCCACCTGATGGCCCATCCTGCTCCGGCTTCAGTGCTTCAGTAGCTCTCAATAGCCTTTGAGATAAAGTTCGAACTCCCTAATTTAGCACAGGAGGCCTGGCATGCCTCCAGCCAACTCCCTGCCAGGCTCCCTGCCTTCCAGCCACACTGAGCCACTTGGGGTTCCTAAATGTTCACACCATTCCATACCCTGTGCCTCCACGAGTGCTGCTCTCAGACAAGACTGCGTTTCCACTCCTCTTCCAAAGCTTAGCTTAAGGCAGGATCCCGAGCAGAAGCCCCTGAGGCTCACAAAGAGGCAGGACACGTGTCCCCAGCAAACCACCTGTCGTCCCAACAATCATGGAAAAGAGGATATTCAGCACAAGAGTGAGTTTCTCACTCCCCAATCCAACAAATTAAATCAGAAGCTTCCCTCTTTGCTTGGTATTAAAATATTTCTCATGTTTTAAAAAAGCATTTTAATTTTTTTATACAAAAAACACATGTATAAGGTAGTTATAAATACATGCATAAACCTGGAGAGAGGGAAAAAAAAGCTTCACCTCCTCCAGGCAGCCTTCCCTGACCACCCTGACAGCTGCCTCTGTGATGCTAAGGCCCCTGGTTTCAATCACCTTGTGGTAATCAGATGATCTGGCCTGACTTCTTCAAGGCTGTGAGCTTCTCCAGGGCAGGGACAGGATGTCACCTGGCTATGGTCTTCCACTCTCCGGCACAGTCAGAGAGACAGGAGCACCAGTTTGTTGAAGGAATAAATAGATCATGGTTATGAGCTATGTCCACGTACCTCATGAAATCCTTATGGACAAGTCAGATAAAGCAGAATAGGTGGCTTGGAACGAGGTCTACCTTGGTTGGCTGTGTTGAAGGAACTTGGCTCAAGGTCTCTTGATTGAAAAAAAAGACAAACCCAAGTCAATCAGACAAAAAGACTGAGCTTAGTATGAGCCTCGGGGTGCGGTGACTGCTTAAAAGGGCGGGGCAAGCGCTGGTCAGGCAGGCTGGGGCTGGGTTTCTGCAGGCTGCAGATCTGGGAGTCATCCACCCAGAGAAGGGTGGAGGGCACGTGGACGCCTTAACCACGGGGCTCCCTCCCTCTGTGCTGGGGGTGAAAGCCAATCCAATGGCATCTTTGGTGTCGGGAGAGCCCCGGGCACCACGGCGGACGGCAGCTAGTTGCCTGGAAATGCAGCACAGGTTTCCAACTTTGCTGCGAATAGTTGTTGGAAAATCTGCAGTTGACTTGGAGGACCGAAGGCCACAACGATGTTGGCCACCTCTTCCCCTGGCCTTACCCGATTCTGTCCCCGCCCCAGAGATGGTGTGACTCCACAGCCTTAGGGTCACTCCCAGGGCACCATGGACACTGTGCCCTTCTGCTCAGGACGTGCACCTCCACCCCTACTTCTCCCAAACGCTTGCAAGGGGTTCAGCCCCATGGGGACCTCCCTCCAACAGGCACTGGAAGGCCCACTCCTCCATCTCAGCGTTGGGAGTGAAAAGCAGACGCCTTGGTGGGCTGCCCCCTGTCTGGCCACAGCCATCAGTAGCACAGAGTCCCCCAGCACACAAAAAGCCTCACTCAGGCTCGGGAATGGATGTGAAAATCACCGAGGTGCCTTTCCAACCTCAGGATTACTCAGCAGCCCTTCCTGCGTCACTGGTTCCTTTGTGAATCCCATGAGGAGGCCCTTGCTAACCGTGCCCTTGATTCTCAGGCCCCCTTCCCTTCCAGGCACCCCCTCCTCTCTCCAGGCCCAGTGACCTGGTCTCCTCTGCAGAGCCAATAAATGCCATTGGGCATGAAATAAGGCCCCCCCCTTCCCCCCACCCCTACTTCTGTATCTTTGCCTTCTCATTCCTCCCCTGGGTCCTCAGGGAAGCGGGTGGGGGGAAGTGCCCACCCCTTGCCCCTTTCTGGGCCAGTGATCCGGGACTCAGTGGTTCATGAGCCTCTGTGTGTGCCCCATGGGGCCCGCCCTCTGATGGGCATTGGAACACTTTTCCCTTCTGCCTCCAAACATGGCCCAGTCTCTCCTTTCCAGTAAAAGACTCCTTCAGTCCTGCCTGCTCCTTTCATCTGTAGCCAGACCCCTTTTATTTTTTCTATTTATTTACTTCTTGCAAAACATTACTCCATTCACATGACTCAAAAGTGACGTACAAGCGCTCTCCTTCCCATCCTTGCCCCCACCCCACTACTGGTCCCTCCTCAATTGCTGGCAGTTTCCTTGTTTGCCTTCCAGGAGAGTTAACAATGTTTATAAGAGGATATCTTATATATTCTTCCTCCTTTTTAAAAAAATTGAGACATAATTTACATACCACGAATATCACATTTTAAAGGTATATAATTGAATGGTTTTTTTTTTAGCATGTTCACAAGTTGTATAACCATCACCCTATCTAATTCAAGAATACTTTGATCACCCCAAAAGGAAATGCCAGAACCATTAGCAGTCACTCCCACTGTCCTCTTAGGCCCTGACAACCACCAGTCTCCTTTCCACCTCTACAGATTTGCCTATTCTGGACTTGTCATATAAATGGAATCATACAATATGTGGCCTTGTGTGTCTGGCTTTTTTCACGAGCATAATATTTGCAGAGTT